TTGGTCTTTGTTGTAGTGATAGCAGGACGTGGATTCAGATAAAATATGTTTTTGGGGGGTGGGAGGGAGAGAGACAGAGTAAGAAAGCTCTTCTAACACAGCTGTTAATGCCATTACACAGATCCAGCCCTCAAGAATCCACCTAACCCTGACGGGATCTCAAAGGCGCTGGCTCCCGATACCATCGAGTTGGAGATCAGGACTTGAACTCGTGATTGGAAGCTGGGCCCTCAGGAAGCAGTTAGTAAAATATGGAAATAGGACTCTTTCTGGGAAAGGCTGGGAGATGGGTATGTCTGGCTGCTCTGACTGTGCTGAGCCTGGGGGGAGGGGATGGTTAAGATGGGCTCCTTGTTCCCTATGGTTTTGTGGGACCAGTGCATGGAAGCCTTGCTGGTCAGTAGAGCCACAGGTGATTGGGGATGGTCCTCTGGGAAGCAGACACAACAGCTGAGGTACCAGATGTGGGTACAAGCTCCTGCCAGAGATTCATGGGTGACCTGGAGCCAGAGGGAGAGTATGGAGATGCTGCCCACTGGCCTCCCCAGTCTCCAGAGGGGATTGCAGTCAGCCCTTAGAGCTACTGAATTAGAAACTCGATCCATGGCTATGCAAATCGGCCTCTCTCAGGGAGAGATCTGAGTGGGCATTTCTGTCTGCTGTCTCTGCTCAAGACTTGTGGGGAGAGCCACAGTGGGTCCTTATAAGCCCATTGAGGACTGTTTCTTATTTTCCCATAGTCTTGGGCATGTCATGGACTCAAGGTGTGTTGGCTTTCAGAGTTCAGGGTTTGGGGGGCCCATCTTGAATGTCTAATAGTTGTTCTAGAATAGAGCTCGGGATTGATTGTTGTGGGTCAGTTTTCCCTGGTACATAATGGATCCTTTCAGAGTATAGATTCAAGCATTTAAAAAATTTATGTCAGATGCTCAACATTTACTAATAGTCAGAGAAATGCAAATTAAAACCACAATGAGCTACTCTGTCACACCTGCCAGAATGGTGACCGTCAATTCTCCAACAAACAACAAGTGCTGGCGAGGATACAGGGAAAGGGGAGCCCTTGTTCACTGTTGGTAGGAATGCAGATTGGTGCAGCCACTATGGAAATCAGTATAGAGATACCTCAAAAAAGTAAAAATAGATTTGCTTCTGAAACACTAATTCAAAAGAACATAAGCACCGCTCTGCTCACTGCAGTGTTATTTACAGTCACCAATATAGGGAAGCAGCCCACGTGTCCATCAGTGGGTGAGGAATAAAGGAACAATGTGACATTTACACAGTGGAATAATACTCAGGTGTTAAAAAAAGAAGAAAATTTTACCCTCTGTCATAGTATGGATGGACCTGGAGAACATTATGCTAAGTGAAATAAGCCAATCAGAGAAAGACAAATAGATTTCACTCATATGTGGAAGTTAATGAACAAAAGAAACTAAGGAGGAAAATGGGAACAGACTCAGAGGAAGAGCAGGATGACAGCTAGTGGGGGAGGGGAGGTTGGGGGGTGGAGGGACTGAGCAAGGAGGAAAGAGGACTTGTGGACATTGTCAGCAGTGTGGTGATGGCTGGAGGTGGGGATAAGGGGACTGATGCTAATGGGAAAAATATAATAAAGCTTACATAAAAAATAAATAAAAATGTGTGGCATGTTACAGAATAAATATATATTTTTGACTTAAACATTTGGAGATTTTATGTAACTATTTGCTAATCTTCTGGTGTTTCTTTCTAGGTGAAGAATAACGGTTAATTCATGGTTTGTATTCTCAAAAGCAATTATATTAAAACCTTTTAAATATTACAGTGTCCCATTAAATTTTCTTGTTAACTGTTAGTTGAAACTTGGTGTCCTGTTTCCACTAGGACTTCAATCAAGGCTGAGTTAATGGCATTGGTGAGCAACACAGGTGTGGAGCACGTGTCTTACAATGTGGTATTACAGCATTTGGACACCTCTGAAAATTATTCACTTATCTACTTATTTTTAGAGAAGGGAAGGGAGGGAGCAAGAGAGGGCCTCAAACATGTGCCCTGACTGGGAATCGAACCAACGACCACTTGGTTTGCAGGCCGGTACTCAGTCCACTGAGCCACAGCAGCCAGGGCTGTGAACCTTTCATTATTCACAATTCGAATACATACACAGTTGTGGTTAGAGCATGGACACAAATGCCCACATAACTCACACTCAGTTTCAATAATAATCAATTCGGGCTGAAATTTCTTCCATTGATACCGTGTATTTCAACAGCAGCAGTATCAATTCGGGGTCAGATAAGCCTTTGCTGTGGGGCCTGTCCTGTGTGCTGTGGCTCGTCTCCTAGCATCCTTACCTCCTACCCACGACACACCAGAAGCACCCTTGCCCCACCCAGGTTGTGACCATGACAAATGTCTGCAGATATTGCTGACTGTGTTCTTGGGGACCACATTCACTTCTCGGGGTTCACTGTGGAGAACCACTGCCCTCTACCCTTGGGGACACTCGAGGCCCTGGGCCCTCAGACCTGCCCTCTGAATGTGTCATGTCATGTGAAGCCACGTGACTGAGCCCATAAGCAGGAGCCGTCTCATTGACCTCTGAACAGCACAGAGTCCCAACCAGAATCCTTGCCCTGGAAATACTGGGCAGGGTTAATTTTTCGACGTTCCCCATTGCTTTCTGAAGTTGTATTGCCTATAAGGAAGTTTGGTGTTTCTGTAAGCAGGGCTTGCTTCCCATGAGGGTGACTGCCTGGTTGGGACAGGAAAGGGGTGGCTCTCTGGGGACAGTCTCTTTATGGCTGTGCCCTCCCCCTGGCCTGTGGCAGGCCGTGTGAACTCAAGGCTGAGTGGCCAGAATTCTTATTCTCTGTGGAACACTTGGGAGGCAAGTCTACTTTGTTCTTGTTTTTAAACCAGGTGGAAGGGACAGGCCAGTGGCTCAGTCTCAGCGTTCCCAAGCCTGGGGCTGCAGGTGGAGCCGACTTCACCAGGCAGCTCCTGTTGGAGGTAGTGCTTTCTGCCCCACTAACGGGGAAGCTGCTCAGGCTGAGCACTGTTCTGGGACGTTATTGGTATCTCTGTGGCTGAGAACAGCAAAGCCAGGGTAGCACTGGGGCATTTTGTTTCAGGAGCATGGACTTTGTTTTCTTTTCTTTTTTTCATGATGATTACAACTGCACTTTGAAGTACATGACGTTTTCCAAACTGCTCTCCTGACATCTGGTCTTTGATGGGGGGGCGGGAGGAGGCAGCTGTGGTGCTGGGAATGGGAATCGGGGGATGGAGAGGCTGTGGTCTCAGTCTTCTGGGACCTTTGTTCCTTTGGTTTATACCGAACACCTACAATGTCCCAAATACCATGCTAAGAAGGCTAGGGAACATCTGCACCCTCTTCATTGATTCTAAGTACAGCCACTGAATGCCATTTTGTGGAGGCATTTAAGTAAGTCCTGGGGATGGAACTGTGGCAAGATGTAAGCTCTGCCCTCAGGAAGTTCAGAGTTTAGTGGGGATAGATGGACACATGAAACAATTAGAGTTCAGTGTGAAAATCGCTGTGATCCCAAACTGTGCTGAGAGAGGGTGGGCAGTGTGCATTGTGGAGATGGGGCTTGTGTGTCTGAGAGGAGCCCAAGGCAGCCCAGAGGATGGAAACTGAAGTTCTCCTGGGATGGGCTCGGAGTGCAGTTTATGGCCTCTACCTGTGGTGTGGGTATCATCTCTGTGCTAGGGTTTGGACTGGAGTCTCTGCTCAGCTAAAGAATGTTCTAGACATCATGCGGATCCGACCTAAAGAGACCTGAATGTGAACCCAGGAGCCAAAATGCTGGCAGGTACTTTCTTTCACACACAGCTTCTAGGTGAAGTTCACCAGCAGATCTGAGCATTGAGAGCTGGTCTCTGCCCTCCCTTTGTCTCCATGGTTGCAAACTATCAGGGATTCATTTCCTTCTGGCTCCTGGCAGTCCTTAGTGACCTGAGCCTGTCCCCACTGTTGATGGGAGGAAGCTCTGTGGCACGAGGGGACGTCACGCATCTCTTAGTCTCAGGGGTTCTGGAGTCTCCCTGTACAAGAGGCTGTTTGATAGGCACAGGCACAAAGGAGGAAGGTCTGCAGACCAGTCAGCACACATTCCTGGTGATGCCCTGAGGTGTTGGAGGCTGGACTGCAGAGCGTGGAGGGTCACTGAGGGGTGGTTTGTATTTCTGCTGCCACGGGGGGAGGGTGGGCTTGACTGAAGGAAATGTGGGCATCAGTAAGGAGAAGAATTGTGCATGCATTGAGTTGGATCTTTGGGAAGGGGCAAGATCACCAGTGACCAGCTGTGGAATGGGAGAATTAGGAGGAGAAAGCAAAAATAAGAGGGGGTACTGAGTGTGGGGGACAGCTCTCCTGAAGACTCTGAAAGGAAGTTGAGTGGCCAGAAAGCTGTTCTGCAAACTGAGAGTGAAAAGGGAGCAAAGGGAGGTGGGATGCAGGTCAGCTGCAGGTGAGGGACAAAGCTATCAGAGGGGGTGGGGGACGGCTAACAGGAGACAGCAGCCCTCTCCTGGCTGCCACACATCATCTGGCAAGGCTTTCGCATCCTAGCCTTTCTCTCCTCCTCTGGTCTCTTTCTGCCAGTCCAGCCTCTGCATTCCGAGCTGATTCTACTCTCCAGTTGCTAACATTCCTGATGGCTCCCCTGAGTCTGCAAAATAAACCCCAAAGTTCGTAACAGTCCTCTGTGAACAGGTATGAGACTGTTTCCAGCTTTGTCTTTGTTATTCTTCCCTTTACTCCAACCAAGCACGATGCATTTCATAGCTTTTTATGATTTTCTGTCTTTGTAGAGTGCTTTTCCCCTTCTTCTACACAAAATGAACTCCTACTCATCTTTCAGTATCAGCTCACAAGCTTTCCGGTACACAAGGGATTATTTTATAATTCACTCACTTCACAAAAGAGTCTGTTGTTTCCTATCATTTCAGATCACCCATCCCAATCACTGCTTCCTGGTGGAGACTTCATGGCTAACACACACAATGTGACTGAATTCATTTTCCTGGGACTTTCTCCCAGTCGGGAGGTGCAGAAAGTTTGCTTTGTGATATTTCTGCCCTTGTACATGGCGATCGTGCTGGGGAACTTCCTCATTGTGCTCCTTGTCTTTGTGAGCAGAAGCCTCCGTTCCCCCATGTACTTCTTCCTCAGCTACCTGTCCTTTGTGGAGATCTGCTACGCCTCCACCACAGCCCCCAAACTCATCTCAGATCTGCTGGCTGAAAGGAAAGCCATATCTCTGTGGGGCTGCATGACACAGCTTTTCTTCATCCACTTCTTTGGTGGCACTGAGATTCTCCTGCTCACTGTGATGGCCTATGACCGCTACGTGGCCATCTGCAAGCCCCTCCACTACACCACCATCATGAACCGGCAGGCGTGTGCTGTCCTGGTGGGGATGGCGTGGCTGGGTGGCTTCGTGCATTCCTTTGCCCAAATCCTGCTCACCTTCCGCTTGCCTTTCTGTGGCCCCAACGTGATGGACCACTATTTCTGTGACCTGCTTCCGTTGCTCAAACTCGCCTGCTGTGACACCTTCCTCATTGGCCTGCTGATTGTCGCCAATGGGGGAACGCTGTCTGTGTTCTGCTTTGTGGTCCTGTTAGGCTCCTATGTGGTCATCCTGCTCCACCTGAGGACCCGGAGCTCTGAGGGGAGGCGCAAGGCCCTCTCCACCTGTGCGTCCCATATCACTGTGGTGCTCTTGTTCTTCGGGCCCTGCATCTTCATCTACCTGAGGCCTTCTGCCACCCTGCCTATGGACAAGGTGGTGGCCGTGTTCTACACAGTGATCACGCCCCTCCTCAACCCTCTCATCTACTCCCTGAGAAATGCTGAAGTGAAGAAGGCCATGAAAAAGCTGTGGGTGAAGACCATGAAACTGGACTGGAAGTAGAAGCTGTGTGTTGGCACACGTCCTGGGGCTTAGAAGGGATGAAGGGAAGTCACAGAACTTGTTAGTTCTAGAGTTATTCTAACTGGTCCTCATCTTCAAAAACTTTATTGTGATCACTTGTAAAATATTCCCTCTTAGGCATTTATGTACTATATTTCAATTAGCCAGTTCCTGTTAGATCATTTCTATTTTTTTTACTAGCATAAATAATATTTCAGTAAGTATTCTTGAATAGAAATCTTCACACTTCTGATTATTTGTTAGACTCATTTGCTATAGTAAACTCACTGTGTTATAAGGTATAGCAACTTTTGATGCATAGTGTTAAATTGATTCTTAGAGAGATTGTAATAACTTACCTTCTGTTTGAAAGTGCTCTTGATGGAATTGAACAATGTCATTCAGCTTTTTGCGGATGTGAAGTAAGATTTTACATGGTCTCAAAGTATATCCCTGCAAGATACTTATTAATTGCAACAGGCAGAATGTAGCTCACAGGTGAAACCTGGAAGGCACTTCCTTCAGTAACTGCTCAAACTTAACATCATCAGTATTGAGACGGGAGAGGCGCATGGAATCAATCACTAATGCGTCCTTCCCACTGAAGATGCCTAACCTGAGACTGGTTGTGAGAAAGTGTCAGGCAAAACGAATACTCTGTATTTCTACAGGATCGTTATCATACCTTCCTGGCATTCCATGGTCTAGATCCGGCGTCCACAGATAATAATGGCCCACAGGCCAGACCAGGCCAACTGCCTGTTGCTGTAGATAGTTTATGGAAACACACCATGTTTATTTATTTATAGACTGTCTATGGCTTCCTTTGTGCTATAAATGTGTAATTGCAATAGAGAATATGAATATATATGTCCCACAAAGCCTAAAATATGTATTCTGTGGCCTTATGGAGAAGATTTGTTGACCCTGGGCCAGATCAGTGGTTTTCAAAGTGTGATCCCGGGAGTCTCCTAGATTCAGTCAGAGAGTTTGGGGGTATTATTATCACAACACAGGTGTTGTTTGCCCTTGTCACTCCCACCCTCTCATGATGAGGGTTCAGTGGAGTTTTCCAGATGCCCCATGACACAGGATGACCCCATCGCTCTGACAGTTTGTACAGTCTTATGTTTTAAAAATGTCCTCATTTTTATATATTTTGTTTTACTTTTAAAGATTTTATTTATTTACTTTTAGAGGGGTAGGGAAGGAGAAAGAGAGAGAGACATCAATATGTGGTTGCCTCTCACGCACCCCCTACTGGTGGACCTGGCCCACAACTCAGGCATGTGCCCTGACTGGGAATCAAACCAGCGAACCTTTGATTCACAGGTCTGTGCTCACTCCACTGAGCTACACCAGCCAGGGCAAAAAATTTCCTCATTTTTAATTTCTAACACAATAAATATAAATATACCTTCCTTGACCCAAATTTCTCTGAGACCCTTACTAATGTTTAGGAAGTTCAAGTCTGAGACCCAGATTTTTAAGAACCACTGGCCTGCATGTGCTGTAAGTTATTTAACTGCTCTTTCACCGTTGGGCAGATGGGTTACTGATGGTTTTTCATAGACAGTGTTGAGATGCAGTAGTATTGTTAGTTCTAGAAAGCAAATTGATATTGATAAGGGCATTTTATGAAAACAATTTAATGGTTCATCACTGTTTTCAAAATTTGAAGTTGGACATGTTGGAAAGTTTGGAAAACACACCGGATTCCTTGATCTTTGACTGTGAGAGGGCTGGAACTTTTCATACAGAGAGGAAGCACACAGACAGGAGACTCAGTCCTTGAGCCACACGTGGAACCAGTGGGGCTCCTCAGATTCTCTGTGTGCAGGTCCCTTCAATGCTATTGGTTGGGTTGAGGGCTGATAGTCAGTTGGAAGATCTGCTCCCAGAAGAGGGGAACTGCTTAACTGCATCCCTCAGGTGAAATGCAGTAGCTCCCTGTAATTTTAGATTAGACTTGTTGAGATGGAGTCTTAACAGTAACATGTGACAGTCTGTCCAGAAAGTCTCAAGCTACGCACTGTGAAAAACAGACATTCACTGAAGAAGATGCAAGATACAAGAAACATTGTACATAGGACAATAATGTATCAGTCCCCTTCAAAGCAGGCACTTTGGGACCTCACGTAGATCTTCCAGTCACCACCTGCTGCCCTGTCATATTTTCCTGAATCTCACTGATGGTCTGAAACCTCTTCCCTTTCAAAGGTGGTTTTAGTTTGGGGAAAAGCCAGAAGTGGCAAGGTGCCAAATCTGGGCTGTAGCAGGGCTGAGTCACCTGGGTGATTTGATGTTTGGCCAAAATACTGTGCAGGAGACATGATGCATGAGTGGGTGCATTGTCATGATGTAACTGCCAATCACCAGTTGCCCAATAGCTGGGGCCTTCTGAGTCAACCAAATAGTTTCTGCAGAGGAATGTTCAAGCTTAATGCAAAATTTGATGCAAATTCTTTGCCTTATTCACTCAGTCATTTGGAATGTGGTGGCCACACAGTACACACACCCACTCACTCAATGACATCTACTGCTCCCACTGACTAGTACAGTGAAGTTGTCACTGTCCACGCATGCGCATTCCAGTCTGCTCTCCTTGGCTGCCAGGTTACATCAATGTTGTGCCAGCTTCTCATTATATTAACAATGGCTGGACTTTTCCCAGACAGACCTGGTATGCTGCTTCTTTCTCTTTAGAATGTTGATAATGGTAATAAGAGATTGTGGGACTTGCCAATGCGTAGAACTTAATGTAATAATACAATATATTAGGGATGTACAAAATGCTGGGTTTTCATCCTGTATGTAAAAACTTCTTAACACAACTTCATGAGGTGGATGCTGTCATCATCTCTACTTTCTAGAGTAGGAAGTGAGGGCTCTGCAAACCTAAGTAACGAGCCCAGAGTGACGGGGCAGTGAACGGGCCTCTGTCTGGCTTTGGGAACTGAGTCTGAACCTTGGTGTGGACTGACACTTTGATCTGGTGCAGATGCAGAGAATTAAGGACTATTTGTGAGAAGAAGCATCTCTTGTACTATTGCCTGTAACTGGGTCTCACTGAACGAAAATGAATGAGTTGGAAGAATGCAGTGGACTCCTAGGGGATGACCATTCTAATTTTCTGTTGAAAACTTTTCTCTTTATTATTGGGGAAAATAAGTGTAACAGCATTAAAGGCAATTTCAAAATAGGGAAATATACCATATGAACCCCGCAATTTCAATTCTATTTCAGAATTGAAAGCAGGGACTTGAACCGTTCTCTGTATACCAGTGTTTATAGTAGCATGACTGACAGTGGCCAGAAGGTGGGAGCAACCAAGTGTCCATCAGCAGGTGAATGGATAGATAAAATGTGGCCTATCCGTACGATATCATAGCACTCATCCCTGAAACCGAATGAAATTCTGACCCATGCTACAGCGTGGTGAGCATTAAAAACGTTCACATGATGGCGGTAGGTGAAATAAGCCAGACGCAGATGGACACATGGTGTGTGATCCCACTTATATGAGGTGCCTGGAATAGGCAAGTTCACAGACAAAGAGTAGAGCAGGGGTTGCCAGGTGCTGGGGGAGGGAGGTGTGGGGAGTAGTTGTCTAATGGGGACAGGGTTTGTGTTGGGGATGGTGAGCTGTTTTGGGTGTAAATACTTTGTGGTGTATTTACACAATACTCTGAACGTGCTGAATGCCACCGAGTTGTGTTTAGTTATTTCTAGGCCCCGATCTCTGCATTCACACTGTAGCTGGTTTAGTGTGTGGAGGTGAGCTCAGAGTATGGACGGTCCCCAAGTGGGTGCCCCCACTTCTGGCCCCCTAGCTCTGACAGTGGCAGGCGTGTGCCTCTGTCCCCCTCCCCGCCCTGTCCTCAAAGGTTTCCGCTTAGTAAATATCCACTCTCCAGGTCAGTTTTTCTCTTTGGTAGCTATGGCCATGTTTCAGGAAGACATTTTCTTTTGAGGAAATGATTGAAGACAAACAGTTTGTTGAGACTAACATACACCTGAAAAACACATATATCCGAAGTGCATAGTTTGAAGAATTTTCACAAAGTGAACCCAATGTGATTTGTGCTCTGGAAGACCCCCATGGGGGACATTTTTATGACAAAGCAAAGGCCCAAAGAGCTGAGTGGGGGAACCAGTAAGTTTCTCTGTGTTAGGAGGGAGCCACAATTCTTGAAAGAATCGAGCGCTCATGCTTCTCACCCAAGTTTTGGAGTTTGCCCTTCATGAGCTCATTTGAGACTTTGATGACCAAAGAGCAAGTCCTGTTGACAGACACTGTGAAGTAAAGCTGGAGGTCACGATGGGCATTAACAGACTTCCGTCTTCCTTCCTCTCCTCTGACCAGGCCCCAGTGGAGTGTGTGACATCCGTGTGACCCACGTCACCACAGCCGAGATATAGCTGGAGTGGCAGAGTGTAGACAACGCCTCCGACTACATCTACCACCTCGACCTGAGGTCTGAGCACAGTGCTGAGCAGACCAACAGTTCTCACAGAGCCTTCACTCTCAGGGGCCTGGTCCCGGGCACCTTGTATAACATCACAATTGTTCCAGAAGTGCAAGGCGTCCCAGGGCGCCCCAGCTCCATCGCACAGTACACACGTGAGTGTCGTAGGAGGCCCTCTTAAGGGAATGTTCTCCTTGACTTTCACTTGGAGGGTGGGAAGGAGGCATTGGCTCAGGGGCCCTTGTTTCTGGGCTCCAGGTCAAATGTGAAACGACTTATGCTGAAAATACCGGCCTCGGCAGGGGGTCTGCTCTTCTCACCGGGCACTGGTGCTGAGCCTTGTGGACTTGGACTTGTCCTGAGAAGCAGGAAGTGGTCCCATAAGCATGGGAAACATACACTGTCTCAGTCATTCCTTGGGGACCCAGACAGAAGCAGAGTCTCCTTTGGGTCCTGTTGGTGTGAGGAGATTCTGCTTAGGATGAGCTTTGTATGTGGCAGTGAGGGAGGGCCTTTGCCATCAGTCAGTCC